AATAGCTAATATAAAATAAGCCAGTCAGAATGGCAGGAACATGACCTGAAAAGACCAACAGTGAGCACTGAATCCACTTAAGTATAAAACTAAGCCCAAATAATTAGTATATTATAATTCTTAAAAGATATGCAGACTAACATACACTCAATGCCCCAGTATAATAAAAAAAATTCTCAGGCAAAAATCTCCAAATAAACTAACCAATGTCTGAAAATTGGGGACGAAGAGGCAGAAGGGTACAAATATGTAAAATTCAACATCTTTAAACCTAGAAGTCAATGACTTTCATTTCTTAAGTTAATAAACATACACTTAGTTATGTTAATCAAAGTCTTGTAAGCCATCCCCTGTTAAAAGTAGACTGTGTACCTTTCAAATTTTCAGCAGTAAAGATAAGAGAAACCTCAGGCATAATTTTTTAAAAGCTTCATTATTAAAAACAAAAAACATAACAAAGGATCAAACATCTCACTAAACAATGATACAGTAATAGACTCAACTACTAAAAGAAGAATCAATCAGATTGGGTTATAAAATAAAACTCAAGTATGATTAGGAGAAACATTTAAAAACCAATGACAAGAAAAGATTAAAGTAAAATGACAAGCCCAAGTATAGCAGCTCTATCTATTTGCTATATGTCACACAAATATAAATAAGAAGGAGGGTTGGCAAAATCAATGTTTGATAAAGTCAAATTAAAGGCAAAAGGGCATGAAAAGCTATCTATGAAATGCTATGTATGAGAAGCTATCTGCCAGACAGAAAATAAGTCCAAAAAAATCAGTGGCTTACATAATTATCAACAGTAACCAACTATAAAGTTTCAGGGGGAATATGCCACTTGTTAACAGCAAAAAATATCATAAAGATGAATTATTTGGCAAGTTATAATACACTTTGTTCAAAGAACTGAATTTCTACTCTTAAAATGACATATCTTCTAAATTAATCTCAACAAACTTTTTTCTCTTCGACAAAAATGATTTTAAAGTTCCCCTGAAAAAATATCACGAAAACAGAAAGGAAATAACTGAAAAATAAAAGCAGTGAAGATTATAAAAATGCAATGAAAAATTAGAGTCATCAAAAACAGGATAGCACAGGGGCACATGGGTGGCTCAGTGGCTGAGCATCTGCCTTTGGCTCAGGTCATGATCCTGGGATCCTAGCATCGAGTCCTACATCAGGCTCCAGGAGGGGAGCCTGCTTCTCCCTCTGCCTATGTCTTTGCCTCTCTCTCTCTCTCTCTCTCTCTGTGTGTGTGTGTGTCTCATGAATAAATAATCTTAAAACAAAACAAAACAGGATGGTACTGAAGAAGAGATAGGAAGGAAAGGCAATCAGTGGAACAGAAAACAAAACCCATGGATACATGGAAATTTAGTTTACGACAATCGAGGCATTTTGAACCTGTGAATAAAAGACACAAGTCTGTGCAAACAACTCTGGGAAACTGTCTAGCTACCTGAAAAAGAATAAACTCAGAGCTCTCCTTCACCCCGTAGAACAAAATTGTTCCTGATGGAGTGAATATATAAATGCTGGAAGAAAAGAAAGAAGACTAGAAAAAATTACAGTTAAATAGTTTTAGAATTGTCTATTAGAAAAAGCCTACCGAGGAAAAGCAGAATAATGAAAGGAAAACCTAAATTCATCTAAGAGGAAAGAAATAACTTTCACACAGAAAAGTATCACTAGAGAAAAAGCCACCTGAAAAAATTTTGAAGAGACACTAGTGAAGAGTCATTATTCTCAAAGTGCAAATAGCATCTAAAAATTGGTAATAAAAGACAACTCGGTAGAACTGGGCAAAATGTATAGGCAAATAACAATGTAAAAATGATCAAATATTAAAATCACATTATCAAGCACTTATTGAACTTCTATATTATTCTTTTTAGGGGGAGAATTTAATCATTAGTCAATCTTACATATGAATGAATTCTGACATAAGGTCAACAAAGGACAAAAAAATTCAAAGCTTTCAAACTGTCTTAATTAATGGTCCAACAACTAATCCTTGTGTGTTAAATAATAACAACATATGATAAGTTTCTCTTTTATAACTTATTAAAAAGTTGGTATAGTAAGATTTTTAAAAATATATTTATTAATTCATCATATGAACTATAGTCAAAAGCCATATATCTTCATCTTAAATAAGTGAAACTATGCTAAAACAAGTCCAGTTCACTCACTGAGGGCAGAGAAGGGATAAACATCTTTGTTTCCTCTGAGAACTCAGCCCATTCATTATCTGGACTATAACCATACCTTGAACATAACTTGAATATTTGCTCAAGTGACTCCTCCAAAAGAGGCAAATGCTTGCATAGTTGTGTTATGCTCTCTTCTATTTGTGTTAGTGACATCATTGGAGATCATTCTATATTTACTAGATAGAACTTAATAAGAGAACTCTAAGAGAGTATTATAACAATTTCGAATACCCAGGGGAGAAAAGGATATTGTGTCTTATATGGAAGCTTAAAGTGTTACAGCATATGCTACCCTCAGTAATATCTAATGAATCATACACATAATGATGAAATATTATATCTGAAATGCAAAAATATTTTAAATGCTCAAATTAAGAAATTGTTTGGCATAGTCACACAATTATTCTACATGTCTAAGTTTATGAAGCAGCAAATGAATAAATCACCAAATATTCATCTTCCTGGTCAAAAATTACTATTCCTTATCCCAACAACATTTTTTTGCAGAAATAGGAAAAACCCATCCTGAAATTTATATGATATCTCAAGAGACCCTGGACAGCAAAAACAATTCTGAAAAAGAAGATCAGAATTGGATGATTCACATTTTCTGATTTAAAAACTTACTACAAAGCTACGTTACTCAAAGTAGCGTGATACTAGCATAAAAACAGACACCTGGACCAACAGAGTAAAAGAGAGAATCCAGAAGTAAGCCCTGCACATATGGTCAAAGGTTTTTTGATCTTCAACCAAAAAAATTTCCGACAAGGCTGCTAAGACTATTCCATGGAGGAAGGACCATCTTTTCAACAAGCGGTGCTGGGAAAATAGGTATCTACAAACAAAAAAACAAAGCTGGACCCTCACTCAACACCATGTACAAAAATTAACTCAAGATGATCATAGACTTTGTAAGACCTGAAACTATAAAACTCTCACAGTAAAGCAAAGCCTACTGACACTAGATTTGGCAATGATTTCTTGGGTATGATACCAAAGGCACAGGTAACAAAAGAAAAAATAGGCAAGCTGGACTTCATGAAAATTTAAAAATTTTATGCACCAAAAGACAGTATCAACACAGTAAAAAGCCCATGGAGCGGGAAAAAATATTTGCAAATCATATATCTGATATGGGATTAATATCCAGATTATACAAGGAACTTCAAAAACTCAACAAGAAACAACCCAGATGAAAACTTGGCAAAGAAATTAAATAAACATTTCTCCAAAAACAATATACAAATAAGCACATAAAAAGATGCTCAACATCACTAATCACTACGGAAATGTAAACAAAAGCTACAATGAGAAACCGCCTCATATCCATTAGGATGGTTGCTAAAAAACAAAACAAAACATAAAAATAACTAGTATTTGTACAAATGTAAAGAAATTGAACACTTGAATACTGCTGGTAGGAATGCAAAATTGTACAGCCAATGCAGAAAACAGTACGGTGGTCTCTCAAAAACTTAAAAATCAAATTACCAAAAAATTTTTTAAAAAATCAAATTACCTCTAGCAATTACTCAAAAGAATAAAAGGTTTGGAAGAAATATTTGTGCTCATGCTCATATAGCAATATTATTCACAATAGCAAAAATGTGAAAGCAACCCAAGTGTCCATCAACATATGAATGGATAAGTAAAATGCGATCTATGCATTCAACGGAATGTTATTTAGTCTTGAAAAGTTAAGAAATTCAGACGTATGTGACAACTGGATGAGCCTTGAGGACGGGACATTATGCTAAGTGAAACAAGCAAGCCAGTCACAAAAAGACAAATACTGTATGATTTCACTTAAATGAGGTACCCAGAATAGTGAAAATCAGAGACAAAAAGTAAAATGGTGGTTGCTAGGGGCTAAAAAATAGACTGGAATGGGAGTTACTATATAACAGTATAAAGTTTAAGTTTTTAAGACAGGGTCCTGAAGATAGATGGTGGTGATATTAGCACAACATTATTAATGTATTTTATACCACTGAACTGTATGCTTAAAAATGGTTTTTATGGTAAATTTTCTGTTATATGTATTTTACCACAATAAAAAAAACTGGAGGAAAAAAAGCTACTATTGCTCTCAGAATCAGATTACCAAAACAACAAAATTGTTACAGGTTTTACCCAAAGCAAATTACTCAGTATGTTTTTTTTTTTTTTTTTTTTTTTTTTAAGTAATCTCTATGCCCAACAGGAGGCTCAAACTCACAAGTGTGCTCTACCACTGACTGAGCCAGCCAGGGACCTCCGGCTGTTTTAAAACAGCTTTCTGATACACAGAAGTGTCAAGAAAAAAAAAAAATAGCATTAGGCTAAGACCAGAGTTATTAAATTTAAATCAACCAGCTAAGTTATAGCAAGCATATAAAATACCATCATCTCAAATATTATCAAATATCTTGCCCCATCCATAAATACTTTCCTAATTAAATATTCATAAAAGCTAAAATTGAAGTTCAAATATTTCACTGCAACCTTAAAGGAAAATTACTTTAAGTAACTTTAAATCTTCCAATTTCCAAACATGCACATTTCAAGTTTTATTTAGCAACAAAACTATCACACCAAACTCATCTCTAACTAACAACCTCCAATGGAACTTAATTATAACCATATTGGATATTCTACTGCCCTGACAACAAAGACTTCTTTTTGGAAGAAGGGAAATAAGGAAAAAAATATGGAATGTGCTTGTTAACCCCTATATTTATGAACTACACAGGAAAAGTATTCAAAAATTATCTTGAGAGTTTTAATACATACCAGGCTCCAATTTGATAATTTTTACTGCAGCCAATTCTCCTGTATGAATATTTCTAGCCTAAAATGAAAATAAAAATGTTTTTAAGTTTGTTAATTATATAAAACTTATTTGGCACTAAGTTAATTAGTTGCTTATTAACCATGCTTTGAACAGAACTAAAAAGCAAACCCTTTATTTTCAACAAAATGAATATATTCATTTTCTCATTAAAGAAAAATATAGAAAAGATACACATACACACAGTTACCTTTAGTTCTGCCACTCAAAAATGGCTATTATTTACAATTTTTGTTATACTTCCACTAAGTGTTTTCTCTATACTAGAATTAATATATTTTTAAAGATTTTATTTATTTGAAAGAGAAAAAGTGAGGGAGCACAAGCAGAGGGAGGGGTAGAGGGAGAGGGCTCCCTATCTAGCAGGGAGACTTAACTGGGGCTCAATGCCAGGACCCTGAGATCATGACCTGAGCCAAAGGCAGATGTTTAACCTTGAGCCAGCCAGGTGCCCTTAGAATTAATATTGTCCTTAATTAAAAAAATATTCATGAAACGGCACCTGGGTGGCTCAGTGACTGAGTGTCTGCCTTTGGCTCAGGTCATGATCCTTGGGTTCTAGGATCAAGTCTTGTATCAGGCTCCCCACAGGGAGACTGCTTCTTCCTCTGCCTGTCTCTGCCTCTCTCTCTGTGTCTCTCATGAATAAATAAATAATCTTAAAAAAATACTCATGGTTTAATAAAAAATAAATTTTAGGGCAGCCCGGGTGGTTTAGCGCCGGCAGACCAGAGGTTTAGCGCCACCTTTGGCCCAAGACATGATCCTGGAATCCCAGGATTAAGTCCCTCGTGGGGCTCCCTGCATGAAGACGGCTTCTCCCTCTGCCTGTGTCTCTGCTTCTTTCTCTCTCTGTGTCTCTCATGAATAAATAAATAAAATCTTTTTAAAAATATAAAATTTATATATTATTATTTTATAAATAGATAATTAAGGAAAAATTCAGAAAAACACATTATCTGTATTTTACTACCCAGAGGAAAAAAGTTAATAGAGCATGTGTTTCCCTTTTTGCCCTGTGTAGATATGTATATTGTAGAAGATGATGCTATCATACTCTTCCACAATGTAATTTATAATGCTGCACAATTTTCTATTAATGGGAGATAGACTGTATTTCACTAATCTGGCATTGTTGAAGAAGGAGGGTTTTAAATTATTCTGTAGTAATAAACAGAGGGATAAATATATCTTAGCTTTATTGCTATCCACAGGCTTATTTCCTACAGATAAATTTCTAGAAAAAACTATTCACTACTTAATCAAAGATCATGGACAGACTTTTTTTTTTTTTTTTAAAGATTTATTTGAGAGAGCATGTGCACACACACAAGTAGGGGAAGGGACAGAGGGAGAGAATCTTAAAGCAGACTCCCCCAAGCTGGGAATGCAAGGTGGGGCTGGATCCCATGATCCATGAGATCACAACCTAAGCAGAAACCAAGAGCTGATCACTTAAAGTGCATCACCCAGGCACCCGTGGAGAGACTTATTATAATTAGTGCTGCAATGATTATAACTGCAAATATTTTGGCACATATCAGAATTTATCAGTAAGGCAACCTACAAGTGTAATGGTTAAGTCAAAAGATATGTGGATTTTAAATGGATGTATTGCCATAGTGCCCTTTAACAAAACTATGTGAATTTATACTCTCATCAACCTTGGATATGAAATCTCTATTTGCTCAGTTCTCTTGTAGGTCCAATTTGTAATTGTTTTTAAAATTATGTACCTTCTCCATGTTATATATAATTTTAAATGGCTACAGAATAGTCCATATAATTATTCTCCCTTATTGTTAGAGATTAAGAATGTTACATACAGTCTTTTCATTATTTAAGATTATTTCTTTCGAATGGATTCTAGGGTTTGAAATTAACTAGGTCTAAGGGCATGCATATAAACATTTAAGGCCATCAACACATACTACCAAAACAGTCTAAAAGCATTGTACTGTTATGCTGTCACTGCTACTATGAGTGCTCATTTTCACTGCATTCAGTGGCATTCCATATGTGGAATGAAATTTAATAACAATCTATTTCATTTACTATATTAGATTCAAATGTAAACTTTCATACTTGGCATAAAATATAACATATGATAAAACAGAAAAGTAAAATCACACCAATTTGCTGGATTAAATAAGTAATGTTACAAGAGGAAAGAGGAAAAAAGGGAAAAGAATAGAAGGATGACCAAGAAGGTAAGGAAAACAGCCTTCAAAGAATACTTTTAGAAATGACATATAGAAGGTGAAGAATAGAATAGGGGAGAGGGATACAGAAGGAAAGTCAAAACAGGAAGAAGAAAAAAATGATTTTCTACAGAAGTCTCAATATGATATGTTGTCATAAGTTCACATTTTTCTCATCTATTATAGTAAATTAGGGTAAGGAGGGATCTGGGAAGAGAAAACAGACATTTTAACTCCCCCCATATAATTATCCCTCACCCAATGCAAACATATTTAGAGACACAGGAACAGGTCAGCCAAAAGCCTCACACAACTACCCTCTCCTCTTTCTTGCCCTTAGAGAAGAGAATTGTCTATTAGCCTTAGGTCTTGTCCCAATTCCTAAGATCTTTCAGTATCTCAGTTCTTCCATGGGTTATAGAAAATTATGTGCACACAAATTTAGGCTGTCCACTACTCAACATTTCACATGCCAGTGAGATTCTGGTACAGAAAACATGGCCAGAAGTTATAAGTAGTAATAACTGACCTCTTGGGAATCTTGTTCAGTGGGTCATAAAATGTGTATTAGAAGACAAATTCCATAATAATGATGTAAATTATATTTATAATTGCTTTATAGTTTGAAGGAACTCTTATATTCATTACTTAATTCTGTTTATTTAAACACAAAGACTTAGCTCAGTCAAGTTAGAGGACTGGCTCAAGGCTATTTTACTGGCCAGGGGAAAGAGAAGTAGTTAGAACCCAGTAACTATATTCTGTTGTCAAGGTTTCACCGCTCCTTTCAATAGATGAGAATTCTGTTTTCCTTTTTAAAATGCAACAGATACCAGAGAAGAGGATTAATTTCATAATATCTAATAAACTTGAGGGATGACTTCTGTTGAAAATAATGTACTAATCATATTTTACATTAAATTATTTCCTATGGTGATTTTCAATGTAAGAGGTTGTGAACTCTTACATATTTAAGATCTTAAATTTGAGAGTTGAATTTGATCCAAGGAAAATATTATTATTTAAATAATCTGGAAAAAGTTACCAAATAAAAGTCAGTAGCCTTCCAAAATGTTTAAAATCTATCTTATAGGATTGGGAAAAATATCAGCTGACAAGATTCAACTTATTCTTCTTTTAAAGCTCCTGCAGTATAATCTAGCCAACATAATTCATTTTCATCCCTACATGTTGATACATTTCCTGGTTTTTCCCTCTTTCTGTATTTCTCTAAACAATAATTTTTAAAATATCCCTGGAATCCCATAGAAAACAAAAAGCACCTATGGATATATAGTAGAAGTTTATATACTGGGAAGAAAGATTCAAGTGTAAGAGACATAGATGCCACAAGAAAGTAACATGTATGTACACTCACAAACAGTGACAGTTGAACCATTCAAGGTTCTAAAATTCAGATAAAGAATGCAGTATTTAACTCTTTTGACAGTGATAGATGCTGACACATCTCCAGCAACAAAATAACTTCAGGGTATCCATTACTTCAGTTTTCAAAGCAAAACAGGTGTTAGGGCAATACACCCTGCTAGTCACTAGAAACCAAAAGAAAATATGAGCCCATACTTCCCATCAAATGAGTACCAACAGCATGAAAAAAAATCTAATATGCTTCTCTGAGAGTATGAAACAATTAATTCTGGTTTTTAAATCCGATTAACCAGAAGCAAATGACTTGGTCTCTAGTTTGAAAGCACTGTCCTCATTCTGGTACATTCTCCTTCCCCTGCCTTTCTCCCCTCCAAATTAGCCTAGTTATTTCAGATTTCTCCTTCAGAATGAAATTTAGATATTATGGCCTCCAGGAAGTTTTGCTTGACATCTCAAGGCTGCATGAAGTGTGTTCTCTTTTTACCTATAGGCAGGATTCTATGAAGAACTATGCCACAGATAGATGCTCTATAAATTTGTTGGACAATTATGATTGTAGTAAGGTAGTTGTTCTCTTTACTTAAAAAATAAGAATATTAAAATCCTCCACAACTAGGAAGTGCTATGACACTAATAATATACTGCTTTAAACAGTCTTCTTTTATTCATGTTAATTTGGTTTCAATTTTTTTAAGGATTTACTTATTTGAGACAGAGGAAGTAAGAGAGGGTATGAACCACTGTGTGGAGGGGCAGAAGGAGAGAACCTTCAAGCAGACTCTCAGCTGAGCATGGAACCTGATGTGGGGCTCAATCTTATGACCCATGAGATCATGACCTGAGCTGAAACCAAGAGTCGGACACTTTAGCCAACCAAGCCACCCAGACGCCCTTCATTTTCAATTTTTATTACTGTGCATTAAAATTAAGAATTTTAGAGAAAAAATTTATTTGTAAAAAATCATTACAAAATATTTTGTTCTAAAAGATTCAAATATTATAAAATGACAGTCCCTCTCCCCTCCCATTTCATCCCCCTGAGTAAGTACTGTAAATTGTTTAGAATATATCCTTCCAGAATTTTAATTAGGTTGATTTTTTTTAAAAAATTACTTATTTTAGAGAGAGAAAGAGAAAGAGATTAAGTGGCAAAGAGAGGCAGAGAGAGAGAGAGAGAGAGAATCCCAAGCAGATCTCACAACACTGAGATCATGACCTGACTCAAAGAGTTAATGGCTCAACCGACTGAGCCACCCAGACACCCCAACTAGGATGATTCTTAAGAACATATACTGACCGTCTGAGAGTTTCTTACAAAGCTGCTTAGCTTAGTCTTACTTACTTAGTCTAAGCTTACTTAGCTTAGAGTCTAAGTCTCTGCATAGTCTTACCATATGATCCACCCAATTA